CATATTTGTTGTCCACTAATCTGAATATTTAGATGGTGGTTCAAACTTTGCACCTGAGGTGGAGAAATACAATTTCTTACTTCAGGAATAGCCATTTAAAATACAATTATATATATACATTTTTTTTAAACCCTGACACATTCAGGCACAAATCGCACCATTTCCAGCACTTTCGCTGTTGCATTTCCCTCTTTACATGAAATGCATCTCGAGCACGAAACATATATTTGCCAGGGGATTTTGCTACAGCTCTTGAGGAAATCATGTGACATTTCATTTCACATCACAGCTGAACATGCAACATTTTACTCTGAATGCTAAGAAGGTTTCACAGCATCTGATCGGAAACCATTTGCAGTAATAGACAGCTGTCAGTGATGTGGAAAATCTATGCACCAATACCTAATATCATCTGAGGAATAAAGAGCAGAGGACTGAATGGTTCATTTCTGAATTTGATTTCTTGATCCTTTTTCTTGCGTCACGTACACATGATGTTTTTAATTAGACTCCCGTGACAGCGAACAAATGCATACTGTTTGCTGCAGATACGCGTTTTATCATTATGCACAACCATACCGATGATGTTCATTGAAATGTAAATCGTCCGATGTGGATTCGAGTCAGAAAGAACCGCAAATGTAATGGAAAGCAATCAAACATTCCTGTTGCCTTGAGCTATGAGCTCTGGACACTTCCAAAACAACCCGGTCTCATCCCAAGACGTCATATAACTGACGTTTTGGGACGTCTTTTGACCATACGTCAATATTCGCCTTTTTAGGGCCCCCTTAAACGTCGGTAGATGAGGTTATGGGATCCTAACTCTACCCCAGACCTAAACCTAACCCGTCACCTAACTGACGTTAAAGGTAAAGCGTCAGTTGTATGACGGCCCGGGATCGCCATCTACCGACGTTTAAGGGGGCCCTAAAAAGGCGGATATTGACGTATGGTCAAAATACGTCCCAAAACGTCAGTTATATGACTTTTTGGGATGAGACTGTGTTATCCAAAACAGCCATAATGTACTGCTTTAAAATCATATCTATAGACCGCAAAATAATAATACAAATAATAAAACCAACCAGAAAGCCAAGTGCTGGTGTTTTATTTCCATATTTTTCATAGCTCCAGTATTATTTCAAATCTTTTCTAAATCACATTTGGCAACTGCACCGCCGGCTTACCGAGATGAAGGGCAAAGGTCCATGGACTTTAAAAGAGAGGTGGCCATTGTTAATATTTAATGCATCTGGAAACAGTAATTAAGTTTTCCCCACAAGAAAAGGAATTTGACATGCTCTGGAGAGCCAGTGAGTAATTATATTTGTAAAGAGCAGTGATATAAGATACTCCCCCTTGACTAGGAGTCATTACACGCCATTAAAGGGTCCCGGCAAGCCGGCCTTATCCACACACACACCAGTCGATGCTCAACGAGACAGGATTTCTATAAACAAATTGTCTCTGTGCCTGATCAAATCTGAGTGCCACAATATTCACATAACCCATCAGTCACGAAGAGCCAGACGCAGCATCCGAAGGAAAGACTCGCCGGTGATCTGGCATTGGTAATTAAATATTAAACCAGTAATGAGTTCTCAGCCATCCACATGGTGTAGAGTTCACATGTGAAAGTCTCCAAATAGGGCCCCTGGAGAGACAGGGTCCACACTTAGTGGCAATAATTATCACATCCACGGGACAGGTGGAAACGCTGCAGTGAGATGATAAAACTCCAGCGAGACTTATTAAATAAAGACTGTACAGTGAGCTTAGTGTGTTGCGAATGTATTCACACACATCTATTTTCATTCTAAACTGCTTTTATGTGATGCAGGCATGAATACATGAATTTTACATCAAACTCCTGTAACCTACATACAGCCATGTTCACAGTCAGAATAGCCACAAGCTGAATGTGGCATCTTTTACATGCCGTATAATTCTCTCTTCTTACCTTTAAGCTGCATAATTAAAAGTAGGCTCTTTTTCATATTAATATCCTATTTTTTATTTATTTTTCTTCCCTGGAATTGTTCGGTCTGCTCTGAATTTCAATTGCATCTGCGGCAGCCATCACTATGCAAATGCAAAAGGGAAAATGCAAAGTTCACAGAGCTGTCATCATTCCTCGCACAACCCGTAGAGATCGCACCATTAGCAAAACATCATTTGTAAAATATACGCCGAATGCAACCTCCGAGTAATTGTTATGTTTCACACCACCACGCCTTGCTTTAGTAGGAAATACTCCTTAGCAAACTTTTAGTCATGATGGATGGTGTCGACTTGTGATGTTCACGGTTTCTTTCAGTTTTCAGTGAATCCGGCGTGTTGTAGGCCAGCAACTAAAGGCTGCAAAGAATCGTAAATATGGATAGATGGAATATCTGAAAAACCTATGTTTGTAGTCAACATTTCTCATCAAAAGTGAGGGAAAAACTGAAAGAAAAAGCTGGTTGCAAGAGTATTCAATTTTTTACCATAAATCTGTTTAACCCTCTGGGGACTAAACTAACCTTTTTGGTCTGTTTTCTCTATTTTTACATTTGGGCATATAAACTATACACTCTAAAAATGGTGGGTTGTTTTAACCCAACTTTGGGTCGAATATGTACAAACCCAAATGTAGGGTTAAAAACGTAATAAAAAAATGTAACCCAATGGCTGGGTTTGTACATATTTGACCCAAAGTTGGGTTAAAACAACCCAGCAATATTTCGAGTGAATGTAATGGAGATGGAACACTATGTGTTTGGTGTCTATGGACTCAGAAGACCCTAAGCTAACATAAGCATGCATGTAATGTGTTTATAAAGGAAGTATGAGTGAAAAATTTCCAATACACTAGAGAATTTCAAAAACGGAAATTCGATTTTTGTCATTTATTTCTGAAAATCAAACATCACACATCAATAGTGAGCAGTTTTTGAACAATAAATATATTTGTCAAAGCCTTTGATTGACAGACATGTGTAATTGTTAAGTAAAATGTGTAAAGAATAATGTAAAATCTAACCTTATTTACAAAATAGTCCCAGGCGTTTTTCTTAGGAATGCTTGCTTTCTCGTCACTCTCCAGTAACGTTAATTGTTCCAGAGACTGTTCCACCATAAATCGTTCACTGCTTGCCACCATAAAAGTGCTAAAATAATAAATAATGCTAAAATTGTATGTGTATATAAGTTCTAATTCTTCTTTCTCTCTCTCATACAAATCTCAGCACGCTCTTGCTCCGTAAAGCCCTGTTTTTACTCAACGTGTCCGTTGGCTTTCTGTCGTCTCCTCCTCCCCTCGACGCTGTTTGCGTCATATCCCTTACTATAGTACCACGCCTTGCAAGGCTACAGAGTCCTTAGACTTTCTAGAATACGTCATGGTAACCTTCCGTTGATTGGGTAAGAAAAATATTTCTCCATCTGCAATTTTTCCATTGGTTGTTGCTCGTGAATCTGCCAAACTACGTCAATTTCATTGGCCTTTGACGGTGTGTATACAAGCCGAGTAAGTTATCACTGTTTTCAGCGGAATCTGAAGAAGACGGCAAAATACCGTATATAATATAGGTTTTAAGCAACGCATTCTCATCCTTTAACGTCATATAGAACGCTATATGACAAAACGGCGCTATACTACGCACATGGCACCCGTTATCGTTAATATAACACGTGCTGTGAGGGCTAAGTTTAGGTGTGGGGTAGGGTGTGCATGTCATATTCACGCTAAAGGATTTATAACGTCTTGGGTTCGCGTGTTATATTAACGATAAAGGGTGCCATGTGCGTAGTATAGCGCCGTTTTTGCATATAGCGTTCTATATGACGTTAAAGGATGAGAACGGGCTGGTTAAGATAAGTACACATTTGTAAAATTATGTCATTTTAGGCGGTACCACCTAATCCGTCCCCAGAAGTTTAAAGCAAATACACCGAGTCGTACAATACAATTTTCAGTGGTAAAACTACTAATAACTGTTCTGTTAATAACCCTCTGTCGATCCGACGGTCCGTGGGCGGGGGTACAGAAATATGGAAGTACAATCTGTAGTTTTCCCTAAAGCCCGGGAGCGTTTTGTCCTCCGACAGACGTTTGCTGAATTTCTCAATCCAGGTAACATGTGGAATGAGTAAACATTGTTCATTTACATATACTATCGACATTGTAACAATACAAAAATCGACGAAGTTGCACTTTAACAGATGTGTTCTTGTCTCCAAAAAGTTGTAGGTTCAAATCCAGCAAGGAGTCAGCCATGAACTATTCGAAGTATGAAGTATCAACGCATTCTCATCCTTTAGCGTCATATAAAACGCTATATGACAAAACGGCGATATACTACGCACATGGCACCCGTTATCGTTAATATAACACGCGCTGTGATGGGTAGGTTTAGGTGTGGGGTAGGGTAGTCTCACATTACGCTAAAGGATTTATGACGCCTTGGGTTCGCGTGTTATATTAACGATAAAGGGTGGCATGTGCGTAGTATAGCGCAGTTTTGTCATATAGCGTTCTATAAGGATGAGAACGGGCTGGAAGTACTTGATTGCTGGTTTAATATGTGCTTATAAATAAAATAATCTGTTAAACAACCGCTTACAGTACAGACTCTTAAAGACTCTTGTTTTTGGGATGTATTTTGGATTCAGAATCAGCTTTGAAAATTTCACTCTTCATTGTGCTCATTTCTCAAACAAAAAAGCATATCTGGATGACTGGACGTTTTTATATTAAGTAATAATAATAATATCACAAACATTTATATAGCGCTTTTCTCAATCAACTCAACACTGTGCAAGCCAAAAAAAATAAAAAAATACATTAAATCAACAGAATCTCTGTGTTTTGCATTTACTGATACAGCATTCAGCATATTATTCAAGTAAACGTAAAAATAGCAGATTTAATCATTAAACCCAGACATTAGCAAACTTGTATTATTTTTCCAATATGGCTGCTCCCGGACAGTTATATAACAACGAAAAGTGCTTACCCAGGACGCCGACTCGAAAGTTGAGCGTAATAACGATGACGTTCCCGTAACTGGCCAGCACGCTTCCGTCGATCATGTTCCCGGTGCCCTCCATGTACGATCCGCCGTGAATGTACACCATCACAGGTTTGGCTCCAGTATCTCGTATGTCTGCAAGAGTGGCCACCATTAAACTCTCACTCCCCCACTGGCCCGATTCAACACAGCAATGCGTCTCACAGTCCTCCCAGATACCAGCGACCGGCTCGATTACAGTCTGAGATGCAGCTCGTATCAGCCGAGTCATTTGTCTCTCGTAATGAACGGTATGCGCAAAACAGATATGAACAGATGAAGCCATATGGAAGGTCAGAACCTAACTGGCTATTGCAGGCGGCTCTAACACGCTTTAGTGGCCTAAATGATGAGCTCATCGCAAATGTAATGGCCTTGTTAGACTTCACTGCTGTGGCACACAGACACTAAATGGTTTAAAACGGGCGGCAATTGAGGGAGGGGGTATTAGTTCAGCCAAAAATGAATATGATTGTTTTGATCACATATTATAGTTTTGCTTCTGTGAAATGCGTAATCATCTTAGGCAAAAGTGAATGCCACTGCCAAGCTCCAAAAGCACCACAAAAGTAGTCCATACATGCATACTGTAAGCGCTATACTGCGAGTGTTTGGAGGCCAGAACCATATTTATGTTATTCCCTGAAAATCAGTTACAATTTCGGTGCAATTGGACGTCATGACAGGTTTGGTTCTCTTATAACGTGACCTCTAAGTCTTCTAAACTAAATTAAAGGACAACTCCGGCGCAAAATGAACCTTTAGTCTAATTACACATTGTTACCTAGTCAACCGTTATCTGAGATTTGTTTTCATGATTGCCGAATGTAAATAGGTTTATCTCTAAAAACAGTTTAGCCTATAACGCTAGTATAATGCTAGTATATGGGGCATAGAGTAATGACAAATAAAAATCGCTTGTTATTACCACTAAAAAGGCTCAAAATAGCCCCACACTAACACGACAGCATAACAAGGGTCCCTACATTCAAACCGAAGCATTGAGAACTTTGTCAGTGTCCGAACAGTTTAATAAGAAGATATTTTATACACACAGTCAACTTCGCGAATACAGGAAGAAGCCATCTTGGAAAAATAGTCTCTGCGAGTCGATCTACGAACACCGATCCAAGTGCGCTGGTGAGATGTGAATAAGGTGAGCGCGAACAGTAGGCTAGACAAGACAAGTAAACGGTTTGTGTTTGTGTTTCTTTTGGAAACAACGGACCATATGAGATTCTGCACAGTTCAGCGCACTTGGATCGGCGCTCGTAGATCGACTGGTAGAGACTATTTTTCAAAGATGGCTTCTTCCTGTATTCGCGAAGTTGACTGTGTGTATAAAATATCTGCTTATTAAACTGTATGGACACTGACAAAGTTCTCAATGCTTCGGTTTGAATGTAGGGACCCTTGTTATGCTGTCGTGTTAGTGTGGGGCTATTTTGAGCCTTTTTAGTGGTAATAACAAGCGATTTTTATTTGTCATTACTCTATGCCCCATATACTAGCATTATACTAGCGTTATAGGCTAAACTGTTTTTAGAGATAAAACTATTTACATTCGGCAATCATGAAAACAAATCTCAGATAACGGTTGACTAGGTACCAATGTGTAATTAGACCAAAGGTTCATTTTGCGCCGGAGTTGTCCTTTAACATGGCTGTATAACTTCAGAAGGCATAGAATATAGTACATAAGTTGTATGAGTTCATTTTTGAGGCTTGACGGTACACTGTAAAAATGGTCTTAATTATCTCATGGTAAAAAAAAAAATTGAAATATTTTAGGTTTTATGACTTTTAACTAAAGTGCTTTACCGTAAAAAAATATGTTAGAAATACATTACGGCATTAAACTTAAATTCAATTTAAAGTGCTGGTTGCCAGTACTTAACCATGTATTACAAACCAATTTGTCACATCTGTGTACAAAAGTGGTTATTGAGAATTAATAGACGCTTATCAACAGGTTTAAAAATAATAAAGTTTGATGTATACAGTATAACAACATTCACTTTTGTTATATGGAAAACAGCCCAGATAGCAAACTGACATTGAATCAACGTGGAAATATGACATCGAAACAACGTTGATCTGACATTGTTTTGCTCATCGAATTAACGTTGAACCAACGTCAGACGCGTCATTCTTTCAAAACTAACGGAAAATCAACGCGTTGTTTCAACGTTATGAAAGCAAACCAATTTTCGATTTTCATTTAGCTTTGAAGAATGCCGCGTCTGACGTTGGTTCAACGTTAATTCGATGAGCAAAATCAACGTTGTTTCAATGTCATGAGAGACGTCGTTTCCACGTCGATTCAATGTCAGTTTGCTATCTGGGAGAAGCTCGGGCGATCTATCGCGACGTCTCCTTTTGTGTTTCCCTAAAGAAAGTCTAATACAGGGTTACAAGAGGAATAATCAAAATATTTTTTTGTTCAATTTTAGCCACAATGTTTCTTATTTCTTTAATATCAATCATTTTCAGTTCGAATTGGTTTTAATGACATAATATAAAAGAGAACACAAGCAGAGAAAATGATCTCTCTGTCGAGATGAAAGAGACACAAGCCTGCTGGGCAGAGGCTCAAAATGCTGTATTGTATTGAAGGTTGCCATGGATACAGCAGATCAAAATTCAGAATCTTTGAGAAAGCTTAATCGCAAACCCCACTCCAGTGCTTTTGCCCCCGTTCGCATTCAAGCCCTCCTGTTAAATATGCACTTATTTGCATGTATGTGGTCACAGCAAATTACCGACAAAAAAAACAATGTTATTTGCAATAACCGTGCCACTGTCTGCTTAACGTCTCCTTTACACGGTAAGAGCGCATTCGCACGTTACACGCCTGATCTGATGGAACAAGCCAGAACTGATTTGTATAGGATTTTTCCCATTTCAGATCTGCCAGCTGAAACATTTACGGTTACGTTTTAAAGATTTATCTGGTATCTGAGAGAAGTATGATAAGACACTGCTTTGAAATGACAATTCTCTGTTGACACTTATCGTACGGAAGAAAGACAATGTATGGAGTGGGAAAAAGAGGGCGAGAGAGAAACAAATGCACAAGATTTCCTGCACAAGGGATGCACAGGATGAGATATAGAATGATCAATTAGAAAAAAAACAATACATAGATACAGTAAGTCATGTCAGTGTTATCAGTAACCTCTTTTGTTGATTCACATCATGTTGGTATCAAACATAATACTCTGCTAACTGATCTCTTCTCTAGCAAATGCTCAAATACATTGTCAACATCAAAATCAAGCTACTCCTGAGGAAAAAGAGGAGACATATTGATTAAAATGCATTGTAAAGACATTTCATAAAATAAAAACAGAACATAAATGACCTTAAGCAAGAGGGGTGGAACTATGGGACATTAAACTGAAATGTCAACTTCATGGATGCACAATAATGGTTGATATGTTCTTTGACATGAAAACATGACTCATTTGCTTCACAGACTCACACTTCATCTTCACATGCGTCCCTTTTCCTTTATATAACCTCCGTCAAACATCTCCGAGCGAACTAAAGAAGGTGAAGACCCCTGCTTCCTTAAAAGTGAAACAACACTTAACACCCCCGAGTTGAACGACCTTCTTCACAAAGTCTTCCGCATCTCCATCAGGGTTGTGATTAGGGTGTTAAAAGGCGGTGGATGTCAGAGCTGTAGGAGGACGCGTCAAGCTATCTGTGAACCTCTCAAAATTCTCCACGGGCCACCTCTCAACGGCCTGTCACTCCGGAGGAACTGGACAGCGTGAGCACTGATAAGTGGCCCGGACTCGCTCTGACGCTGTAAAACACGGAAACTGTCAAACGTTCACATTGTGAGCATTGTATGAGCTCCCGAGCCGAGGTTTCGACTTTAGACCCCACCGCTGAGCTCATCACGGATAACAGAAATGCTGGAGATCGACATTTCCAGGTCAAACTGAATATTTCTGAAGCTATTGTGGATGGAAAAAAAAGTGAGCATGGCTCGGACTCTGCAGGAAAATAGATAATACACATGCAGTAGCTACAACTATATATAGATACAGTATGTGTGTGTCTGTAACTCGAAATATATACAGTACATTTGAAGGAGTAGTTCACTATAAAAAACAAAAAAACTTTCATAATTTCCTCACCCCCATGTCATCCAAGATGTCCATGTCATTCTCTCTTCAGTCGAAAAGAAATGAAGGTTTTTGATGAAAACATTCCAGGATTTTTCTTCATATAATGGACTTCAATGGGAACCAATGGTTCAAGGTCCAAAAGACAGTTTCAGTGCAAGGGCTTTAAATGATTCCAGGACGATAAATAAGGGTCTTATCAAGTGAAACGATCGCTCATTTAATAAATAAATAGCAAAGTTTAAGTTTTATAAGCTCAAATGGCCGCCTTGTTCTATTCTGTGATGCGCGTTCGTGACTCTCCTGTTCAAACTCGTTCATCAAAATGAACAAATCTTTTTTCGTGTCATTTGGTTCATTCAACGAATGAAATGAACGAGTTGACTCAGGAAAAGATTCCTTCATTTCGATGAACAAGTTTAAATAGGAGAGTCACGAACGCGCATCACACCCTAACCCTAACCCTACCAGAGAAAGGCGACCAGTTGAGCTTATAAAACTTTTTTTTTTTTTTAAACGAGTGATCGTTTCGCTTGATAAGACCATTATTCATCGTCTGGAATTGTTTAAAGCCCTTTGAACAGTTTTCAGTTTGCACTGAATCTGTCTTTTGGACCTTGAACCATTTGGTTCCCATTGAAGTCCATTATATGGAGAAAAATCCTGGCATGTTTTCATCAGATTTAAATTATCAGCATTTTTTTTTTTTAAAGTGAACAACTCCTTTACTTGCTGTGACGTTAAAATCATGTTGCTTGTGGTCTATGGATCTGCCTGAAGTGTATACATTGAGTAGACTCATCCGAATAAATTTCCCTCATTCGTGCACTTGACTAAGTTGAACGCACTTCAAAATGGCGGCGGGGATTCCCTTAAGGGAAGAGTTAAACACAGCCAGAGACGTACTACATCCTGAATGCTGGCAATGTGATGTGACCTACGACCTCAGACACACGG